TAATATTTTTTTTTTATGTCTCATTATATGTTTGGTATATCTAATATTACTCTTCCATAATAAAAAAAAAACAAAATTATTATATTTCTATGCTAGTTATTTTTGGTTATATATTGGGTATATCTGAGGATAATATTTATATTTCTGTAATAATTATTTATCTTTTTGTATATCTGAGCTAAATATTTGGTTATTTTTTTTAATAAATTTGATATTTTCTGTTTACATTTAATTCTCATTATATGTGGGGTATATTCAATATTAAGTTGCATTTTTCTTTTCATATTAAAAGTGAAACATATAACATACATATACCCATAATGGGAGATGCATTGAATTCAGAACATGTGGAGAAGATTGAAGCTGGTGAGGGAGTTAATCGAGGAACTCTTCAGGAGAAAAAGGTGGATATAGCTGAAAAGGGATTGGATGCAGTGCAAGCCAACGCACGAGTAAATAGTGCTATGGTGGTGTATGATCCAAAGGCACATGTTGTGAAGAAAACCACAAAAGCAAGAAAAAAGTTGAAGACTGATGTTCCTGTCAAGATACGACTTCAGCACTCGCGCCCACTAGCCGGCGATTTTGATATAACTATATCTGGAAGAGTGCACACGGGAATCTACGATGAGTGGATTGCTGAAGGCACTTTACAATGTGCTCCTCGTAAAGTCGCAAACGGGTATGGTAAACCGCTGCAATTACATTATTTTTACATCGTGCAGCCAACATGTTATATTAAAAAGCATATAATTCATACATACATTGGTTAATATGCTACCAGCAGCCTTTTGGAATATTTTTTTGGTATATTTTTTGGTAAATATAACACAATCGATATATTTATTACACAAATCTTACCAGTTATAGTGTTATATATATATATATATATAAATTTATTTGTAATAATTGTATATATATATATATATATATATATATATATATACCTAGTGTTTATTACAAAATATACCAGACATATACTTGTTACACAAATGTAGCAATTGTTTTTATATACCTTACATCTACTAGTAAAATTTTTTATATGATGGCAGGTACAATTATTATAAGGTAAAGAGCAAAAACTTGCCAACACCGTTTGATTTCAATGTCGCTTGTGTGACCGAAAAAAATTGGTTCTATCACATTAATGAGACAAGATGCTTCCTTGACAGCAGTGTAAGTACAATATTGACAGACAATTTACTTGTTTTCTTCTTTTATATTGGTTCAATTATATGCTGAAATTTATTTTATTAGTTACATTTCATTTATTTATTTTATTTTTTGTCTATGCTTTGACAATTGTTTTCATTTTCAACAGCTCTTGGATGTTATTTTTTATTATTTGAGGAAGTTTGGAATATATGGGAGCGCCAAAGTCAGGTACACAACGACGGATGTGTTGTTCGACCAACACATCAAGTCGTTGTACACGTCCTTTTTGTCTCAGTCTCGTAACCTTTCTGTATGCACTGTGAATGACATGATCATTGACTACATCACGGGATATAAGATTATATGTGGACTTTCTTGGTTTAAGGTTGATCATGTCTTATTTCCGATTCATTTGGAAATAAATAATGTCGGTCATTGGATTATGGGTCTCTTTTCCTTCGATGATATGAAACTTCGAATCTACAATTCAATTCGAACCCAAGACTGTGATAATCTTGTTATGGAGAATGTGAAGGCGTACGTTGAGCTTATCCCCATTTTCCTTGACTTGGTGAGGTTTCCAAAGAAATCAGAGCACGGTCCTCACGATGTTATTATGGTGGATAATGTCCCCCAGCAGCTAAATAGGTAACCTAAATGAATTCGATTATTTTTTACGGCAAATTTCGGTTCAACTACTTTCATTTAGCAATTCTATCCTATTGAGGTTATATTTTTAGTTTTAATTATTACTTTTTCTTTTGTAGCGACTGCGGGATATATGTTGCATCATTTGCCGAGTATTTCATTGCCGGTCATGACATTACCAAAACGAATATTGATGCTACTGTCCAGAGGCATAGATATGGATATCTGCTCTACACTCATGGCCTAATGAAACAGACTAATGGGTATGAGAGTGATGATGAATCACCCGGATCTTTGCCTGATGAAGTTCGTTTTGGATTTCTCAAAGTTCTGGATAAATCGTAGACCGGATCTTCCTCTCTTTTTTTTTTTCCTTTTTTAGGGGGTGTATGTTCCAGAAGTTATTTTTGTGGATTTTTTTTATTTTTTGTTTCTGGTGTGTTTTTTAAAACAATGTCTGAATATATAATTCGCTTGAACATATATTACTGCATTGGTTTATTTTGTTATATTTTTGGTATAACTTTGGCACACTTTTTCTCTTCTGTTTCATGTGCTTGGTATATGTTGAGTATATAAGATAACTATTCACCTTTATTGATAAATTTAATATTTACATTCAATTGGTTTTTCTCTTGTTTTTTTTAGTTAATATGAGTATATTTTGATGTACATCAACTCTTTTTATGTAATCTTTATTTTATTTTGTTTTGTTTCATGTCTCATTATATGTTTGGTATATCTAAGATTATTCGTCCATAATAACAATAAACACGAAATTATAATATTTATAATCTAGTTATTTGGTTATATGTTGGTTATATATGAGATAAATGCTTTTTCTTTTTTTTTTTTGTAATAAAATTGA